TTTTTTCTTTTTGCTTATGTGGAATCGAACCCAGGGCCTCAGGCATGCAAGGCAAGCGCTCTACCACTGAGCCACCTTCCCAGCCCCAGGCTGAAATTTTCTTAAGAGACCCAGAAACACAACAAATCGAAGAAAGGCTGGACAAATGGGATTGCATGAAATTGCAGAGCTTCTGCATGGCAAAGGACATAGCTGGCAAGATCAATAGAAAGCCACAGATTGGGAGAAGATCTTCACTAGCCATACAACAGACAAGGGTCTCATATCTAAACTATACCTGGAACTCAAAAAATTAAATCCCCCAAAAACAAATCTTCAAAGAAACAACTGCCCCATAAATAAGTGGGCTAAAGACTTAAAGAGAAACTTCTCTGAAGAGGAAATAAGAATGTCCAATAGATATATGAAGAAATGCTCAACCTCCCTAGCCATAAAAGAAATGCAAATTAAAAGAACATTGAGATTCCACCTCACCCCAGTTAGAATACCTATAATCAAGAACTCTAATAAGAACAGATGCTGGAGGGGATGTGGACAGAAGGGAACATTACTGCATTGTTGGTGGGAGTGTAAACTTGTTCAACCACTTTGGAAAGTAGTATGGAGGTTTCTCTAAAGACTCCACATAGAGCTCCCCTATGACCCAGCAATCCCACTTTTGGGCATTTACCCAAATGATCACAAACTAGACTATACTAAAGTTATCAGCACAACTGTTTATTGCAGCATTATTTACCATAGCTAAGATATGGAACCAACCCAGCCTGATGCCCCTCAGTAGAGGAATGGATCAAAAAAAAATGTGGCATATATAGGTATGTATGTATGTATACACACACACACACACAGGAATTCTATGCCTCCATCAGAAAGAATGACATTGCCCCATTTGTTAGGAAATGGAAAGACTTGGAAAAAATTATATTAAGTGAAATAAGCCAGGCCCAAATAAACATAGGTCCCATGGTTTCCCTTATTTGCAATAACTAGTATGTGTCTAGGACAAGCAGAAAAGGTCAAAAGATATGTACATATGACCAGATAAGATGATGGTTAAGCGAAATGAACCACAAGATAGGGACACATGGCTTTTTCTTTCTTGCTATTGTTTCTAATGTATTTATAATGTGCCATGTGACATTTTTGTTTCTTTGTATGTTCCTCCCCCACAGTATAACACCTGTTTTTCACTGTATTTGATGTCAGTGCCCTGCATCTTGTATACACACTTCTCTAATTTGGGGAGGGGAAGGGAAAAAACAAAAAGCTTAAATAGGGATACAGGTTGACCCATTTTAACAATGATATACAAGACACTATGTTGAAAATGAACTTTACAATTCAGGCAGGGTGGGGGGAGGAGGGGCAGGGAAGTGGGGGGGGTACTTATGGAGATGGGGAAGGGAGGTAGGGGATAAACAAAGGAGGTGGTGACAATGCTTGATAGTAAATGTACTCATTACCTTGCTCATCTAACTGTAAAACCTCTGTACAGTATTTTTACAATTAAAAAATGTATTAAAAAAACAAACAAAACATGCCAGTGGCTCAGCTAGGTTTCATTGGTGTGCTTTAGCTTTTGGGTACAGGTCCCAGGCTTGATCTGGTGCTGTCCCTGAGGTTTTTTGCTCAAGGCTAGTGCTCTAGCACCTCATCCACACCTCCACTTATAGCTTCTTTGGTGTTTAATTCCAGATAGTCTTGCAGATGTTTCCTGCGTAGGCTGACTTTTGAACTTCAGTCCTCAGTCTGAGCCTTCGGACAAGATAGGATTACAGGTAACTGTTTTGTTTTGGGGTTTTTGTCAGTCATAGGGCTTGAACTCAGGGCCTGGGCACTGTTCCTGAGCTTTTTTACTCAAGGTTAACTTTACCACTTTGAGCCACAGTGCCACTTCCAGTTTTCTGGTGGTTATTTGGGGATGTCTCATACTTTCCTACCTCAGGCTGGTTTCAAACTGTGATCCTCAGATCTCAAGACTCCTGTAGCTAGGATTACAGGCATGAACCACAAGAACAGGGCAGCATGACCTGTCATCCCCATCTAATGATTATATACATGATCATTGTGAACTTCAGTGTAGCATAGTATATATATTACCTCTCCAATTTCATGATGCTCTTTCTGGGCCCAAATATCTGACTGAACAAGTGAGTACTGTTTTATTATTTGCGTGCTGTTTTCTCCTTTGGTATTTTAATATATAATGTTTACAGTAAACTCAGTTTTTGTTAACTGAATGGTTGTCTTACAGGAGCAGGTCTTCAGATTTATAGTCCTTCAGCCTCGAGGAATATTAAGCAGTCTCTTCCACACTACACCTGATCATAGGCATGATGAGCTCCTAGACTTTGAGTTGTTACAGTGGGATACTAATTGAAGGGATACTAATTCGCATATGAACTGAGGCTAACTGTAGAATGGGAAGGTGACTATAACATCTATGCGTATGTTCAATTCTACTTGTGACTAAGTGCTGAGTCCATACTGTTTCTACCCTTTGATAGGCAGGTTTGTACTGAACCCAATGCTAGTGACTTCCTAAGCTTTTGTGCATGAAAGGCAATACAACTTTCTGCGCTCGTATTAGGGACCAAATCGAGTGCCTCAATACCCACATGAAAACCCAAATGAATCCACAGACATGGAAAATTTCTGAAACTAAATGCATACATGTCCTGGCCAGGACCAAATGCTCTGGCATCCAGTTTCAGCTCCATCCAGCACCTAGCTGCAAACCAGAAGACCTGTAGCCAACTCAGCACATGCCTTCCTTAGGTTCCTTATTCACAGAAAAAATGACTTGATTTTGAGCCAATGTTTCCCTATCTATCTTAGAGGGTGCTCTTGAACTCCTGATCCTCTTTGCCTCTGCTTCCCAAGTGCAAGGATTATAGGAATCATGAACAGACCCAGCTATGTCTATTTTAAGCACCTCAATTCTGGGTGATTCATGGTAGTATTTGGCTAAAACAGGTTTCTGTTAAGAGAATACAAATTTCATTTTCACCTGAACCACAAAAATGAAACTGCTCTGGGATTTGCAAATTTAGGGAACATGACTATAGTTTGCATCTTAAATGTGTTAAAGACTTGTTGTGTCCTCAGAGTGACACTACTGGGAATGGTGGAATCTTTGAGAGTTGGGACCTGACAGAAAGTCCTTAAGTCAATGAGACTGTGCCCTTAAAGTGGTTGTGAGACTTAAAAGATAAGTTAACAAATTGCAAATAAAAACATAAAAGTAAAAAATGAGAGCTACTGTATGTTCCTTTACATTTTATTTACCATAAACACTAAACACAGCAAATGAAAAAGGCTTAATAACTTGACATAAAGCTAAACACTTGAAATTATGCTTGCCCCCCAACCCATCCCAATTTGGCATGCAGATTTCATTTATCTCCATATACGCTGATTGAAGAGCATCACAGTCTCAATACTTTCATGAGTATCCTTGCCTTGTAACCGAAAACAATTTCTAACTATACACAATCATGGTATAATACCATCATTCAGAGTTCCCCAAAGTCAATACATTTATACAATTTAAACACTGAAATCTGTGTTTTTAAAAATGTAAGTCAAACCACAAAAACCTGGGATTTAGTTTTAAATGTGTTTATGATGACTGCTGCTGAGCTCAAGGCATGCAGGTATTCATGACCACCTAGATGAAGCTGGATATTGAACTCCTTCAGCAGATCCAAAGATGTAATTTTTCACTCATCCCATGTATCTCCATATTTGTTTACTTTTACTAGAAAAAAAGCACAAATAACTGATGATTCCAAACAGTAAAAGAAAAATAGTATCTTAGGTTTTTATGTTTGTAATGATGATGAAATTATGAGTCTCATGTGAAAAACACGTCAAATTATAAATGGGCTGGGCAGATTTTTGTGCACTAGGGGTTATTTGGAATTAGACATGTCCTATATCAAGAACTTTACATAAATAATTAACCTTCACACAACCTTATGATATAAAGACAATGTCTGTCTTATGGGTGAGAAAAAAGATTAGTAACTTGCCCAAGGTACAAGTAGCAGTACTGAGATTTCAATGTTTTTAGGTCCAAAGCCTCAGTGCCTTTACAACTTTACCATACTACTTACTTCGTAAGTGTTGTATATAAAATAGCATATACCAAAAAGTTATCAAGAAATTAAAAAAAATCAAATCTGAATTTTGTTTTCATGGGAAATATAGCAAGACCAAAACTTCAGATTGCAACTCAATCTTCTCTCTCATAAGTTGTCTACAAAGAAGGAAAAGGTCTCCAATATTCTGGTGGTTGTGTGAGTCACTGACAGGTTGTCTTCTATTTTAAGGTTCTCTTTTAAGCCTCCATCAGCAAATTAACTCCTCTTCATAAGTCTCAAGTAATTCTAACCATGTAAGAATCACTGTACTGTATATACCTCTTAGGGTCAAAAGTCAAAACTATTTTATTTTTCTGACAATATGTACTCCATGGTTCTCACATTTTGGCTATTTACCACCATGCTTCATTTCTTCAGGACTTCAGGATAAGAGTTTTAGAAGCTACATTGTGAGTAAGAACATTGCTGACAAATCCACACTTGTGATTTAAAAACTGCCATAATTTCTCATGTCAATAAATAAAAGTGACAGAATATAAAGTCTGGCACTTTAATATTCTCAGACCCTGTGAACCTATACTACATTTTTAAATTTCCTGCTTAGATTGGAAAACATTTTAGAAAATCAATTAAACTACCTCATGAGTCTTTACATAAAGCACAAAAAAATCAATTTCCTTTTACAAAGAAAAAGTTCATACATTCACATTACACTTCTAGTGTTCAGTTAAAACCCAGCAAATCTATACTTTATTACTACTGAAGGCCTGAGCAATACATTCTATTTCTGATAGCCCAAATATATATATTTGGAAACATATACTAGAAAAGAAAAATGAAAAAAATACTACTTCCTGCCCTCATGGAGCTTACAGTCTAAATCAATTAACAGAAATTGTACCATAACTCCTGACATTTTACAGAATAATGGCCACTGGATGCCAATGTTTTCTAATTACAAGCATCAACCAGTACTGCAAATCTATTTCAAAGATAGACTTTTTTTTAATGATGAAGGTTTTACTTATCCTTATTATAAAAGTGATTATAAGTGAAATAAACACTATCTTTAAAAATTAAACTAGAAGACTGATACCAGTGGCTCATGCTTTTAAACATAGCTACTCAGGAAGCTGAGATCTGAGGATAATAGTTCAAAGCCTGCCCACGTAGAAGAGTCCATTGAGACTTTTATTTCTAATTAACTACCAAAAAGATGGAAGTAGAACTGTGGCTAAAATGATAGAGAGGTAGCCTTGAGCAAAAAAAACACAGGGACAGCATCCAAGGCCTGCACCAGCACAAAACATAACAACAACAACAACAACAACAAAACCCAAATAACAAAAAAACCTGGGCTAGCCAGCGCCAGTGGCTCACGCCTATAATCCTAGCTACTCAGGAGGCTGAGATGTGAGGATCACGGTTCAAAGCCAGCCCAGGCAGGAAAGTCAGTGAGACTCTTATCTCCAATAACCACCAGAAAACTGGAAATGGCACCGTGGCTCAAGTGGTAGAGCATGGCTCAAGTGGTAAAGCGCTCACCTTGAGCTGAAGAGCTGAGGGACAGCATCCAGGCCCAGAGTTCAAGCCCCACAACCGGAGAGGGGAAAAAAAAAATACCTGGGCTCTTAAAATTATCCTAATAGCAAATGCTGAAGGTTTTTATGTGTTTTTGCACTTTATGGCAAATGGTTCCTTCAGAAGGCACAAAGGGCCAATTCCTATCTTATGAGGCTTTGGTGTTATTACCTTTATGTAACACAAGAAGCTGCCATTTAACAAAGCAGTTTATGAATACACGCTAATCGATGTCACCCCTTTCAACATTCTCACTATCTCTCCCAACCTACACTTGAGTTTTTAAGAATTTTTCATTAGTTTATAATTTATTATTTTATAAGGACTAAACTTAGGATCTTACATATCTAGCAAGTGCTCTATCCCTGAATTTAATTCCTTTCTTTGATGCTTAAATTAGTAAATAGAAAAACCTTCAAACAATGACATATCCTCTGGAATTCCTTAAAAGTGAAATCATAAAACCCTACATTAAAATGACTTGTAAAACCTTGAAATACTGTAGAAGTAAATTTCTGTGTCCAAAACTTGACTTTGGATAATATATGGCCGTTCCTAAAGGACTTAGAGATTGTGATTTATAGGTTTATTACCAAATTATAAAGAAAAATAATGTAAATCAAATTGCTCTCTTGGAAATGTCCTAAAAATTTATTTGTATAGCACATAACTCTTCCAAATGCACATATATACAAATCTCACAACTCAGTGACAGTACAATCTCACAATCAACCTCAGGTAAGCAAAGCTCGATATGCAGGTGATCCACCAGTAGGAAAAAGATATCAATTCCCAAGGTGACTTTTTATAGTGTGAATATTCTAAACTATAATAGAAAATTAAAGTCTTACTGTCCTGAGTTGTGCTGTTTCAACTTATTTTCTAACAGAAAATGGCCTTTTGAACACCTTAAAAATGGAAAACATACCTATAAAATTATTATTCCTTAAAAAAATTACCTAGATTAATGGAATAATTTAATGACATACTATTGTAATTGTTTGAAACTAGTGCTTTAGCTTCCAATTCTAAAGTTACGTGATTCAGACTAAACTATCATACCTTCTTTTTTTGGCATAGGCCTGACTGAGGGGTCAGTCTTTTGTGTTAAAGTTACTTCATATGACTCTCTGTTCTTATTCCTTAATTCCTCATATGTAATATTTTTTCTTTTGGGACTTTCTTCTGGGGTGGGCTCAGGTCCTAAAACAACAAACAGTTAATAAGTGGTGACAAAAGGATTTAGATAAATCCACAGAAACTAAACTTTGCAAATACTTGTTATCTACAATCAAAACAGAATAAGAAAAAATAAAGGATCAAATGACCACCATTCTAAAGGTACTTTACACTTTCTCCAAGGTAACTTCAACACTGAAATCTATTCCTTCTTATAGTTTTAAACTTTTATTCCTACAACTGAAAATTAACGAAGTTTTTTTTTTGGTTCCGGTTATGGGGCCTGAACTCTGGGCCTGGGCGCTGTCCCTCAGCTCTTCAGCTCAAGGCTAGCGCTCTACCACTTGAGCCACAGCACCACATCCGGCTTTTTTCTTTTTGCTTATGTGGTGCTGAGGAATCGAACCCAGGGCCTTGAGCATGCAAGGCAAGTGCTCTACCACTGAGCCACCTTCCCAGC